AGGGGCGGTGGGAGCTCCGGGGGTGGGCAGAGCAGGGCTGGGGGACGGTGGGCTCATGCGGGCAGGACAGCCCCACGCAGGGAGAGCCTCCCGGCGGAGCTGACGGCGGCCCGTAAGTAAAATGAGAGGAGAGATTCGTGGCTTTTGCTGAATCTTGGGCCGGGTAATCCCACCGGTTTGCCATGGCTGCCGCTCAGGCAGGTTCCGATAGAGGATTGCTTCTAGCAAGGGTACCGAAACGGAACCGTTCCTTGGAAATGCCGAAGGCCTCGGGGAAGGAACAATGGCTCTGTGGGTAGACTCTGCCTTAAGCTATGCAAATCCATTATTTGCATTTTAGGAAAGAATCAAACCCTGGAAATTTAATGTCTGCTGCCTTTTTTTTTTTTTTTTTTTTTTTTTTTTTTTTTTTCTATTTGGATTATTATTTGGCAGCGGGTGGTGTTTCTCTTTTAGTTAGGGCAAGCGGTGAGCTCAGTCTTGCTGTCCTTTCTCAAATTAAAATTTCCAGGGAGATGAGCAGCTGATCTACTGGGATTTGTGCCTGTTGTGTTGTTACCCAGCTCAAACTTTCTATCCTGTTTTCTTCAATTTTTGTCTCTCTCTTCACCCATGTTTTACTGAGCTATTCTCACATAGAGTGATTGCAGAACTGTTAAGAAAAGAATAAACTTTGTGATGGGATAAGATCACTTGTTTTAACCTGGTAATTCAGCTGAACTGTGTGAAAATGTTGTAAATTAAAAAAATATGAGAATATTACAGGTAAAAGGTATACATAAAACAGTTATTTTGGAGAGTGCCGTAGTATCAGACTGGTCACTCCTAAACTGAAAGAAGTAAATTCAGAGAGGTGTTGAAGGAAAATGAAGTGTGCATGGAACAGTTTCCTACCTATCAACATGCAATACTCTTGTCTGACTAGGTCTTAGGAGTGATATTTCTGAAACTAAAACAACTCTAACAGGTAAGACTTCACCAGCTGTAGCTCTGGTTTTTATTTCACTTAAATAAATCTGCTTACCTTCCCCAATCTGATGCAGTACCTGCTCATTTAGCTCATCTGTCTCTGCTGAATTGAAGCAGTCCATTTAGTTAAACTTTAGGCTTGTAGCTGTCATTAAGGCAGCAGAATTAAAGGTGGCTAAGTCTCAGGTCTCCCTGAAGGTCATATTGGCTTTAGCAGACTTATGCTTGTGGGATGTATGAATCATCCCCTGAGGCTCATGAGTTGCCCAGTGTCCTTATCCCTGCCTGTTCAAAGATAGGAGGAATAGTTTTCTCTGGAAGCAGTTGCCGGTTAGGGATGTGCCCATGGGAGCAGCTTCAGAGTGCTTGTTGAGACACTAAAACCTGAAAGCTGACAGATCACGGGTACCTAAGTTACAAATAGGTGAGAAAATAGGTGAGTTGAAGTGCTTTGGCTAGAGAAAGGTGTTGGACAAAACATTGTGTTGATGTGTACTGTGGGTGCTGTTAAATAATGGCTTTAGCAATTACACAGGGGAGTTGCCTGACTGAAGAGGGAAATACGGGTGCTGATGTGGTGACAGATCTTCACAGCGGGAAGTGCTTGAGATGCTTCTCCTTCACCACCTCCTCAAGACTTTGATAGCTTACACGCAAAGGCAGCTTTAGAAGATTTTCGATGATTGCTTTCTTCTTAGGTGTACATTTTTGGATAGAAGCTGATAGGATAACTTATTTGTGCCATTAGCACTTTAATCTCGGGCTGGTTCTCTTTGTTGGTTTCTGAGCATGCTGTGATTAGTGTTTCTTTGTAAAAGTTTGATTTGTATTCCCAAGAAAAAGAAAACGTTTGGAAAAGTTAACATAAACCTGCTTTGGCTGATTTGTGTATTTCTTCTTGCATGTTGCTTCATGTGCTCTTGGTGTTGATTCAAGCACACTAGCCTGGAAGAGGATGCAATCAAGTACATCATTTGAAGATAAAACTTGTGAGACAACTATGAGTCTCCATTAGGTTGTCTATACCATTGACTTGAAAAGGCTTTTGAGGAAAGGCTCTTGGTTTTTTGGGTTTTTTGTTTGTTTGTTTGTTCCTCCACAGTTTAGCTTGAGCTGTAGCACAGGATCTTGGTTTTGCTTCATGAATGATGTGAGATGCTCTGCCTTGGCTCCCTAGTTAAATGCGTTTTAGGAATGGTCTTAAGACTTCTTGAAATACCTTTTTTACAGACAGCTTTCCCTACAGATGTTTGCACTATTTCAACTAAATCAGCTGAAGTGTGCACTGAATGCTGAGGAGGGGTCAGTTTTTCAAACTTACTACGTGTAATTTGTTGTTCATTTGAATAATTTATTCATGCATTTCTCTAGCCTTATAGACAAGCTGTAGAATAATAGTGAGTAACTAATTTATGGGGTAACTGAATGTACATAATTTTTTCCTTCTTCAGAGTCTCTATTTTCTACGATCTGTTTACTCAGAATACCAGAAGCTTTTTAGCAGAGTAAAGATGCCCCTGAACTTTCCCTTTAATCCAGTTTCTTCTACCTTTTCTCTTTTAGATATGGTTGCTTGTGTGCTTATTCACACCCTTAAAGGGAAATTAAAATAAAACCACTCGTACTTACTGTTTGCTCTGTGAATTGCCTAAAGCTTAAATCTTACTTTTATCTTCCTTCTACAGAAGAGCCTAAACCTCAGCTTTTCTTGGTTTGATATGTATTGAGGTCTAGAGAAAAACAGGATGTGCCTGCTGTTGTTTTCTTTATA